GTACACGTCTGCTGCGTGTATAGCAGACCATGACGGGTCAACGATACGTAGATGAGGTGCTACGGTCCGTTGTGCTTCCCTACGTTCGGCGGCTCCCAGGCCTGCTATACATGCACGACAACGTACGACAGCACATCGGGCGTGTTGTACAGACCTTTGTGGAAGAGCACCGTATACGAATGCTTCCATGGCTAGCTCGGTTTCCGCATCTGAATCCGATCGAACATGTTTGGGACATGACTGGTCGGAGACTTCTACGTTATCCGGCTTCCTTGGCTAACGTTGAGGAGCTATGGAGGTGAGTTGAGGTGGCATGGTTGGCCATCCCTCTCGCTACAATACAGCGACTTATAGACTCCATGCCACGTCGTGTAGCGATGGTACGCGAAGCTCACGGGGGATACTCTCGCTATTGATGTTTCTCCTCCCAGCAGAGTTATGCCGCTCTCCATGTGAGAAGTTACACTACTTTAGTACTACTTCCATACCAAATTTTATTGCGCTAGACACACGCGTTCAGATTATACAGGGTGTGCTCGTGAATTATTTCCAACAGTGTATTATAGTCCTAGGTGATTTTAACGTTAAATTTGGAACCCGTGACACTAACGCTACTGAACTTTGTAATATATTTTCCACCTTTGGGTTCTCTCCCACAATCTCACAGCGTACACGGGGAAATAATTGTATTGACAATGTTTTTGTTAAATTAGAGCGAGACGTTTTCAGCTCCGGGGTTATCATGAATAATATTTCAGATCACCATGGCCAATTTATTTCGGTTGAAATTTCGTCAACTTTTCCTGTGAGGTACACTACTGGGATTGGTAGGCCAATTAGTGTTGAGGGCAACATGAGATTTTTTGAACTCTTTCAAGAATACTCCTGGGAGCTTTTTTCTGATAGTGAATTTGATGTTAATGCAAGATTCAATTACTTTTTTGATCTGTTCCTATCAATATTTTATACAGCTTATCCTGAGGTTGGAAGGCTATTATCCTGAGGTGGATAACACACTGCGCCAGCTGAGAGATATCTATAACTTGGCTTCTAATCTTTATAACTGTTTTAAAACGGAAAGCCTAAGAGATTCTAGAGACAGAGCCAGATATTATTACACTGTAA